AGCCAAGAAGCAATCCTTCATTTTAAGCGGAAATTCACGTAAATCAAAAGCAAGTATGTAAGTTTTGTTGGAGCTCCGTTGGACTTTGACTCTTTTGTGATGGTGACCATGTTTATAACTCTGTAGTTGGTCAATAACAACACACTCGGAGTTGTTTTCCTTTGAGAAATTGTGCAAGATTTGAAAAAAACAAAACAAAACAAAACGTAACCAAGTGTGTAGAGTGTGTAGTGCTCTGGTGCGCTTTCAGACACCCTCACCGGACTCGTTCTGATCAATCGTCATTTAATTTGCCTTTTGTGAGTGAAATTAAGTTGAGTTTTTAATTTGCCAGAAGAGGGCGCAATCACTAATCTGACTTTTTTCTGTCCACTGGGCTTTCAAACATCATTTCAGTTCACAAAGATGAATTTTAGTCGATATTTCCAGTTTAGAATCCATACTTTGTTTTTTGTTTTTTGTTTGTGCCATGACGTTTTGGAGCAATTCCAGTTTGCAATTCGATTATGACGTTAATCGAAATACTAAACGTGCCATATTTTAGTTGATTACCAAGGGTTTTCCCCGTCGAAAGTTGCCAGGTTGAGTTTTTTTGCGTCACTATTTCTCCATATTATGACAAAATCAAAATCTATGCGCATATATTTTAGTCCGCGCGTAAAAGTGCTTTAAAGGGCCCGCGCGCCGTTCACGAACTATAACCACGCTGGATAATGAATCTAGAATATGAAAAATACAACAATCACACGATGCAAGAGCAGTACTTCGCCATTAAATTAACAAATCAACGCGTAACAGCCAGGTGTTGGGCAAAATTACGCGTCGGTTTCCAAATGAGGGACAGGCGCGTATACGGCATCTCTGTATATAGGATCGTTTCAATGCAAATTACGTCGATTGCGCGCACGTCTCCGCGTCTCTCCCTACGTTATAATATCATCAGCTGCTAATATTAACGTGACCAGAAACCCGAGCGCGCTAAGTGAAATGGAATAGAAGATTTGGGACATTTACGCACATCCAAAATATCGCGTTATTCTTGCGCGTAATTTCCCGGCATATGAAAAATGAATTTAAAAGCATCGCGGGTTAATTACCGCGCGCGAGCCCCTCCATCAGACCTAATCAGATCAGCTTTGCATATAATAAGCATCGGGTGCATTAGCGCGCGCCTCGTGTCCGTAATGTTGTTCCTATCGCCGCGCGTAAAGTGGCTGCTGCGCCGGTGGAGGAAATCGAACGCGCGGTCACTCAGGGGACACGGCGGGTTCAAAAGGTCACGGCGCATTGTCCACTTTGTCTGGGCTCGAGTGCGCGCGAGCCTCTGAGAGTAAGAGTAAGGGGTGGTGGTGGGGTGACGCGTCTGGAGGACTGGAGGGACAGGTCAACTTTCTCCGCCTCGGGAACCCCCCTCTTCCTCCTCTTCTCCTCTCCGGATCATCAATTAGCCCGCGCGGAGTCGAGGCGCGCTCCCGATCTGGACCTTACAGGCTCGTGCGCATGAGCCTCGGTTCACGGATTCAACCTCGCGAGCCGTAAATATGCACGTGCGTAATGTTGCACAAGTTACGAGGGGAAGAGGTTTATGATGCTCGGAGAGGTTGTTAAAATAGTCCGTAAATCACGGTACGCACGCGCCGAGTTCAACACTGATTTTACGATTTGGTCTTAATCTACTACGGTATTCAAAGGTGGACAAAAATATGAATCACTTCGGTTAAAACAACTTAATATATTTACACTTAATCTAATCTAAAACTATTATCTTTAAAGTAGGCCTATAAAAATAACTACGTCGAGTGTTAATCTGGATACGTATTCCCAAAAATCGACAAAAACTGACATTTTTTGACTGCATAAATTAATAAAAGTTGATCAATTTAACATCTAAACAGGTTAAAACTATTCAACACTAAATATACTTAAAATTACCTTAAATTATTCACGATTTTCAGTGTTAAAGTGTGTACAAAATCCTCCAAAAACTCAAATTAAATGAAGTGGTTAATATAAGCGAATGTATCTTGATTCGACTGAGCTAAATGCAAACTGTTCAGCAATAAATTCCCTTAAAATTCTGAAAAAAAATATTCAAGATTTTCAGTCGTAAGAAATCCTACAAACTAACTCAAACTAAATGATGTGGTTAGTACACGCAAATACATTTAGCTCAATCGAAGGAAGATACAAACTATTAACAATAAATTCACTTAAAATTAAGTACAAATATTGAAGATTTTCAGTCCTAAAGTGTGTATGAAGTGTTACAAAAACGTAAACAAACTCAAACTAAATGATCTGGTTAATGCATTTAGCTCAATCGAAACAAGATAAAAAGTATTCAACAGTAAATTCATTTAAAATTTTGTTAAAATATTCAAGATTGTCCATCTTAAAGTGTGTACAAAATACTATAAAAACTCAAACTAACTCAGACTAATTGATGTTAATACAAGCAAATGAATTTTGCTCAGTTGAAACAACATACAAACTATTCGACAATAAATTCACTTAAAATTTTGTAAAAATATTCAAGATTTTCAGTCTTAAAGTGTGTATGAAATAGTACAAAAACTCAAACTAACTCAAACTAAATGATGTTGTTTATACAAGCGAATGCGTTTAGCTCAATCGAAACAAGATAAAAAAAACCAAAAACTATTCAACTCTAAATTCACTTAAAATTGTGTTAAAATATTCAAGATTTTCCGTCTTGAAGTGTGTCCGGAAATCCTACAAACACTCAAACTGACTCAAAACTCAAACTAAATGATGTGGTTAAAGCATTTAGCTCAGTTGAGTCAAGATACAAACTATTCAACACTAAATTTACTTAAAATTTTGTAAAAATATTCAAGATTTTTAGTCCTAAAGTGTGTCCAAAATAGCACAGAAACTCAAACTAAATGATGTGGTTTATACAAGCGAATGCGTTTACCTCAATCGAATCAAGATAACAAAAACAAACTATTCAACAGTAAATTCACTTAAAATTTTGTAAAAATATTCAAGATTTTCAGTCTTAAAGTGTGTACGAAATAGTACAAAAACTCAAACTAACTCAAACTAAATGATGTTGTTTATACAAGTGAATACGTTTAGCTCATTCAACTCAAAATAAAAACAATTTAACATAAAATTCACCTAAAATTGTATTAAAATATTCAAGATTTTCCATCTTAAAGTGTGCATGAACTACTACAAACACTCAACCAACTCAAAACACAAACTAAATGATGTGGTTAATGCTTTTAACTCAATCGAATCAAGATCAAAACTATTCAACAGTAAATTCACTTAAAATTTTGGAAAAATATTCAAGATTTTCCATCTTAAACTGTGAACAAAATTCAAGTCCATATAAACGTAAACTGAAACTCATTCTCTTTCCTTAAAATCCAACGTAAAACTATGAATATTTTCAGTCTGAATATGCAACGAGAATCCCAAAAGTTGATCAAACTGAACTAATTTGAGAATATAAATTTATATAACGTATGTTTATCTTAATCAGAATCCAGTCAGGCTAAAAATATTCTGCAAAGTTTTTCCTCAAACGTATATGAAGATAATAAACATTGTAATTCTTAATCTGCATAAAATATTCAAATATATGCAAAAAAAAATCATAAATATTGTATTGATTATACAAATTTAGCGCCAGTGGAACGCATTTATCTTAATCTAATCAGGCTAAAACGACATTAAACCGTCTCTTTTCGTGAAAGTACATACCGATAATAGTTTTTTTCTTAGTTTATGTTATTACCAAAACGTTCGGCATAAAAATGAAAATTATTTGACGCTTTAAGGTTAATCTAATCAGGTTAAAACTTTTCAAATAATGTATTTTCTCCAGCGTGCGTAAACATAATCAATATTTTCGGTCTTTTTCTGTATTCGGTATTTTAAAAGTCGACAAAAGTGTCAAACGATTTGGTTTTACGTGATAACCGAAGTGCGTACATTTGTCTTAACGTAACCGGACTAAAACGATTCCATGTCCTTTTCCTTTGGGCATACTTTAACTTAACTTAATCGGGCTAAAACTATTCTACAATCGTAAACGTAAAAATAATCGATACATTCCGTCTTGGTGTGTTTACAATATTTCCGGAAGTTGCCCAAAAGCAAAACAAAACAAACGGTGACATCATTTGGTTGCGTTAATGAATACGTTCATCTTAATGTAATCAGACTTAAAAAGTATGTTAAGGGAATCGATATTTTCAATAAAAAGCTGAAATAAAACGTGTCTTAAGTTCTAATTCTGGTTTTCAGTAACATAACGTACATTTGGGATAACGTAACTTAATCCGGGCGCGTAACTCAGCCGATACATTAAACATTATAATATGGACAAAGCACATACACTCCATAATCACGCTCTCCTCAGCTTTAAATTGTTGTTTTACGTCTGACGCTCGACTTTTATGTGAAATCACTTGTTTTAAGACGTGATTTAGACGCGATATGTAAACGCGTAAAGGTTTAGCTCGTAAATCACCAAATAAAGAGCGCACGTCCCAGCCCACACATATACAGAATTACTGCTATCACCGCGCGCGCTTCTGGCATTCCCCGTGCGCAACAATATGTTAACTTTCAACTTATGGTGCGTAGACTTTTTTTTTGCGAGTTGGAAACCCATAAATTTTAAGTTAATAAGTGTAATTTTTTATCCATCGCTTTCTATTTACGCGCTTTTACGCACGATCCAAACTGGCGTGACCAAGCAAAATTATGGATTTAGACACACACATTAGTGCACAGATGACTTTCTAGCAACTTAGACATTATTTTTTTACGTAATTTGCATAATCATAGAACATGAAATTGATTAAAACCAAGCTAAAATAAAGCATAAATTAGACGTAAACCAGAGTTATGGTACAGTGCTTTACAATTTATTGAACACTTGTCATAGGTAGTATACGTTGTACTGGACAGAAACACTAATCTAAACGAACAATGTAAAAATCTTTTTAAATACACAAGTCCTGAACGCTTTAGGTAGTTTTATTTGGGGGGAGACGCACGTTCGTCCTTGGCCCAATGACATCAACGCGCCTTTACGTGGCCGCGCGCTCGCTCCGAATCGAATCGACCTCAGCACAATTCTAATATTTACACAAAACAAAAAGGAATTTCCCTAAATATTTTAAGTTTTTTTCTTTTTCTCTTTTTTTTCTCAACAAGTGCGGACAACAAGTACTAATACGACTAAGTTTAGGAATGCGTCATCGTTTGCTTCTTCTTAAAACAAGTGTGGGGAGGGGTTGCGTAATGGCTTTTAACACACTTGTCCCAATTGTAATTCTAATCGCGTGCGTCTCTCCTCTCCTCGCAGCAGTCACGTGGCTCATCCCGGGAGTGCTATAGTTACTGTGTTATTACTGTATCATAGACCACACACGGAGAGAGATAGGGCGGATACAGTACATTTGCGTGGGACGTTGGTGGCAGATCCTCGTGGTTTGGAGCGGAGTCGCGTAAAACTCCCAGAAAAAAAAAAGTTAACACGGATGTCTTTTGCACCCTTGTCACTTAACGTCCGCGAGTCCGTACGTGTCCGTGTCCCCTGCGTCGGGTTCTCACTCCGACCGTTTCTCCTCCAGCTCGTCTCCGTCCGCGTTGGAAGAAGACGAGTTGATCAGTTTGTTTTCCTTCTTCCACTTCATCCGCCGGTTTTGGAACCAGATCTTGATTTGGCGCTCCGTGAGGCAGAGGGCGTGCGCGATCTCGATGCGCCGTCTCCGCGTCAGGTACCGGTTGAAGTGGAACTCCTTCTCCAGCTCGAGCGTCTGGTAGCGCGTGTACGTCTGCCGCCCGCGCCTCCCCGGGCTGCCGAAGGTCCCTGAGGAGGAGCGCAGATAGGGTTACACGTCAACTCACGGAGGCGCACTGAATGGCACATGTAGGACAAATGATCAACATGCGCTACACTGAAAACACACTCAGAGCTATACGTGTATTTACAGCCTTCTACACTCTGAAGGAATGAAACTGTGTGTAGGTTAAGAACATTTTCATATGAGGAGGTCGTCAGTAGTAACTTTTAAAGAACTGACGACTTGTTTTCTATCAGAACACTGTGCGTAAAATGGTTTAGCAGTGCGTGAGGTTACCAGGCAAAAGCTTCAGTATTTACATTACATGACATTTGTTTTTCATGGACTCCTGCAGATGTGTGTTGTTGGTGAAATCACTTTAAACGTTTTTATAAATGTTATTATTAATAGTTATGTTGTTGTAATTTTCTATAGGCTATTTTACGCACTATACGCACCAACAATGAACACAATTTGTCCATGTTGGCGTTTGTGTTTGGAGTCTGTTTGATTTACGCACCAAGAAAACACAAAGGAATCGCCAATACAAAACTGTTACACAGTTTGGCACAAAGGTACAGCTTTTACGCACGAATCTGCTCATAAATCATAAGAGCACAGAGCGCACACAAAGGCATCGCAAAACATACTTGAAGGAATAAAGCTGTCTTCACTGATTTGTCTTTGATTTAAGCGTTCCTATGCGTCCTGGTGAGTTTGGAGCAACTTTACGCACAGGTTGTATTTTAATATTATGTGTGACCAAAGCGAAATAACAACACAAGTTTGATTAAACGTCACGATAGTTTTCAGACACACATCAAATGGTGGGTTTAATATTGTCTGAATACCACCATTGAGCTGTGCACACAGTGTCGCCTTGTTCCACTTTTTCTTCTCTGACTGGATAATAAGAAGAATATGACTGAGCGTCCTGCTGATATTTCAGAGGGTTTTCCCCGGGTGCTGTGGATCAGCTTCCCCCCTCTCTGCACTCTGATACCCGCTAACAGTACTTTGGCCCCCGGTGGTAAACAAATCGCGGTGTTGTCACTCTGGCAGCTCCACATTGTGTATTGATCTGGAGGAGAGCTGGATGGAAACCACAGCTTTTCTGAGTGCATAAATAAAGAGCGAGCCAAAGCGGATTATGGAGGAGCACGGGGCTGTGCGCGCCTCTGCCCAGATCCATCTCCGGGCCCTTTTCTTGCTCTGATGTGTCCCTCAGATATGTCTGCTCTTCGCTGCTGTTCCCACCTCATCTGTCACCGCGCGGTGTGCTCCGGGCTCTGGCTACAGTAGTCCGCGGCCACCATTACTCAGCGCACAGCTCCTTCTCTGTTAAACATCAACATAAAGCCGCAGTGTTCCGCGCTGGTCTGTGTCTGTGGGGCTCATTCTTCACTGAGAAAGCGCTCTGATGTGCACAGTATCTAATCTGTAAGGGGTTAGCAGATAACCGCCCCAAGTTTACAAGAAGAGCCGTGTTATCCGCGTGTGTCCCGTTAGAATCACTAAAGGTCCACTCAGTGACAGAGCGCGGTCAGGAGCGTCCTTATCAGCTTCCTATCTGCTCCGTGTTTTGTGCAAACACAGTGTGACAGGCTCTTCCTCTGCGGTCAGCGGGTCACGTACAGTAAGAGCGAAACAGGAGCGGAGCCAAACAAACGCGCTTTATGGCGCTCCATAAAGCAGCGCACATGACACGGCCACAAACGGGACCATAAACGGCCCCACGGAGCGGCGGACACAGGAAACACACGTCACTTTTATGAGCGGATCATAAAATATGCAAAAAGCAGGAAGAGTCTTACCGTTACACGCGTTCATGCGCTGCATCCAGGGGTAGATGGGGGCTGACGCCGACGGCTTCTCCTCCAGCTCTCCGAACAGCCCTTTGGCGCTGAGCCCCGCGCACTCCACTTTCCGGTGCACCCCGTCCTGCAGCAGCTGCTCCTCCAGGCTGCACGGCTCCTTATCCCGGTAAAACCCGCACGCCGCCGCCGCCGCCGCTGCCGCTGTGGCATAGTCACAGGCGGAGGCTCCGCTCGCGCCCCCGACCCCGACAGCCGCCCCCGCCGCCCGGTGTCCTGCGTATGCACCGTTCTGCTGATAGTACGGAGACGCGGCGTACGGTTTGTCCTGGCTGCTTCCATACGCCACCGCCGCCCCGGGGTAGTGCCGGAGCGGGTCTGCCGCGTAGCCGGAGGAGTAAAGCGGAATCTGACCCAGGAACGACTCCGCGGCAGCTGCCTGGCCTCCCCCGCCCGTCCCCGGCAGAGACACCGGGAACGAGGAGTTGACAAAATAGGAACTCATGGAGAAGTGGAGAGAGGAGAGGGGACAGGAGGGCACGGGACACAACCAGAGCTCCCACAGAAGAAGAAGAAGGAGGAGGAGTGTTAGGCTAACTGCTAACGGCTAACGTCTCCTCCCGTGCTCGTGCCCCTGCCGCACTTATGATTTGTTGTGTTTTATAGCCGCCAGTCCGACTGCGCTGCTATCACTTAGTTTATCTCAGATCGGAGCAGCAGAGGGGGCAGGGTGGCGGAGTGCCAGTGTGGGACAGGAGAGAGAGCGGGGCGCGCGTGCATGTGTGCGTGTGTGTGCGTGTGCGCGCGTGTGAGAGGCGGGGGGCATGTGAGAGGCACACACCAGCTGACCCCGCGCTGACCAATGAGAACGCCCCGTGCCTGGCATTCGTTTTCTCCTTTCCTTTCGCTGCGAGAGGAGGAAGAGGAGGAAGAAGAGGAAGAGGAGGGGGGTTCCCAGACCCCCCTCCTGTCTATTTTCCTTTGCCTCTCCTCTACCCTCTACCTCTTTCTAATTCTCATCCAATCTCTTTTCTAATCTCCTCCGGTTGGAGAGATTGGGCTCCTGAGCGCGCCTTAAGTGATTCTGGCTCCGTCTGTTCGGACCATAACAAGCCGCGGCGCGTTCACGCTCCAGAGCGCTCCCGCCCGTAGGGGCTGTGCCGCTGCGCGGCGAGAGGCGAGCGGATAATAAAGCATATTCCCGGTCCCGCTTTGCAGATAAAGCAAGCGCATTAAAATGAGTTTGGAGAGCGTAAATCAGACACTGGCGCGCGCACCATTCATGTGTGTTGGTGTCTGGAGCGCGCGGGGAGGGGAGCAGAAACACAACATCATGTGGACTATAGCGGGTGTAATGGAGGTGTGTGAGCGTTTGGTTGTGTGGTAATAAACAGGCACCAGACTGTGCGCTTTTACGCACAGACCGTGCCACTCCGGCACACACTGCATTCACTTTTACTCCTCTTTATTCTATTAAAGAAGTAGGCTAATGGTACAGTGTCAGGTGATATGGAGTAATGAATTGCTAACGCTGTCCAGGTGAGCGTGCGCGTGCTCGTGCATGTGTATAAACAGTAAAGACTCGTGTGAAGTATGATTGTGTCCGCGTGTGACACTGATTAGGCTCCGGAAAGAAATAAAGAAAGACTCAAGTCCTTCTGCTGTTGGCGCTGATTACAGCCTGACGCACGACTCACGGAGTAGAACCTGTGTGTGTGCGCGCGCACGTGTGGCCTGCCAGCCCAAATACTGCGCAGACGGAAGGATTAGCTTTATACTGTGTATGTATTTATCATTCACAACATTCAGACTCACACACGTATGGAAATACGACTCACGAACGCGCACCGCCACAGAGCGTTTCTATTTGTGCCTCTCTCAGGTTTCAAAGACTAAATCTATTACAACTTATTGGAAAGAGCAAGTATTAAGATTGCAGGCAAATTAACTGACCATAATTCATGATATTTATGTTAAGCTAAGAAATGTATAATTAATTATGCATGTAATAAAATGCTAGAGCCGTGCATAAATCTAAAACATGTTCTAGTGTTCTTACAATTTAAGCAAAAATATATTCTAACATGTGTGTTATTATTCACAAGTCATTTTTCTAACACACGTTTTGCCAGATTTGAAGCTCGTACAACTACAGAAAGCTCTCGGTCTGTACGCACAAGTTCATAACAGATTTTACAGTCACTAACTTGTGCACATAAAACGCGCAAAGACGCACGGAGGACTATTATAACCGCGGACACGAGGAGCGCGGAGTGTGAAGCGAGCCGGGCCTGTTTCTCTTCCCATCCGGGCGCCCAAACTCGAATACTTGTCGCGGAGGTCGTAAAGTAACCACAGCCATAAATAGTGTCAGCCAGTCCCCCACAGGCTGCTCTCCGGGCCGGCTAAAGAACTCACACGCACACACACACACACATACACAGACACAGAGACACACACACACACACGCGGAGCTAAGCACAATGACGCTATTTTTACTTTAACTTTAGCGTTCCCTCTCTCCTCTCCTCCCCCCATCGGAGCTCTGCCCAAAGTAACACCGTTGAGAGACAGATGATAAGTTTTATGCGCATCCCGAGGCTCCCAGACAGACAGAAGTGGGATCTTTGCTCGGGACGGGACTCTCGGTTTTGACCCCCGCTTCCCCTCGCCTCTCTCCGGCCCGGTGTGCGCGCTCTTACCCCGGGCAGGAGAGGCTGGACAGGCAGGACGCGGCGTTTCCTCTGCGCCTGCTGGGAACGGGAAGCGGCGGCATTGTGTTGGACAGGGCCGGGGGGTTTAATTATTAATGGTCCGGGGGACATTCGGCCAGGACGCGCGCGCTCCCGCTCTCATTGGCACGGTAACGCGTATTCACATCATATTTACGTCCGTTTTGATTTACGTGCGCGCGCGGTCAACACTTGAAGCCACTTAAACCAGAGTTAGTGGCGGTCCCTTTAGTCTGATCGGGTTGTTATGACTGCGGAAGTGTGTATTGAATTGCGCACTGGTTTAAATGAATCAGGTATAAGGCCCGTAAGTGCCGTCCTGACAAACTGCGTGACGATTGCGTTACTATTTTTACGCACGACTCGTACACTAAATTAATTACTAAAAACTGAATTAAAATTACGTCATGAGGGTCAAGATTATGCCAATAAACGTAATTAATCATGAAAAATGCATATTTAAAAATGTTTAATCCCTCTTTTAATTAAAAGGTGAAGAAAACACGCTTGAATTTTGAGCTTGGACAATGTTCAAAACAAAAAAAAACTCAAGTAAAACATTTAAGTGGGTGACAACAATTGTGTAATAAATATGAAATAATAATTAAACAATGCATTTAATCCAAGAATTGAGCACAGCAGCTGTTACAGTGTTCTATAAATTAATAATAGATACTAAAAAATTTAAAATAAATAAAATAAATAGGCCAAAAAATTTAAATAAAATACAATTGTGCATCATAATATAGAACAATAAAGTGTACAGATAATTGGGCTTAATGTTAATTTGAAAAAGCACACATAATTTAAGTCCAAACCAACCAAACCAAAAGGCCAACTTGTGCGTAAAGACGCGTTGTGTACCTTGGACTGACAAACTGCAGACACGTCTCACCCGACTATTTATACCTAACCCTGGTTTTGTTCACAGTTACATAAGCTGTCTTTTATTGCAGGTGGAGGTCGGAGGAAGAGGAAACCCAAACGGCACCAAACGGCGTTTCCAGACCAGACCAGACGCGGTGGCTGCAGGGTGGACGGGATGGGTGAACGTGGTGAGATGTGCCGCCGTGACGCACCGTGTGTTGGAATCTACCCGCGCGTCTGCCATGGGAGCGTCCTCAGAGCGCGTACTGTCAAAGTTTGGGTCAAACCACACTCCAACATGGCAGCGTTTTACGTCTGGTTTACGTGATTTAGGTACTTTTGCTTCTCATTATTACAAAAAAGGAGTTTTGCTCATTTCAGTAGCACAATTTACGCATGAATAGTGGTTAAAATAAAATGGTTACAGTAAGACAAATCCATAAGAAATTTACATAAACACACAACTACTACTACTAATACTTTTACTATTATTACTCCTACAACTGCTATAATAATTCACACTGAGCTTTGTGAAAAAATAAAATGAATATTACCACAATTTATTTACGTAAAACACCAAAAAATACTTTAGTCGCTTTATCATTTAGTTATAGCTGAATAAAAGCAAACTTAGATTAATTTCAACATATAAAAACAAAACTTTATTATATTATCATTACACAGTTAGTCTCATCATTACAAATTATACTCAAATATTATAAGAATGTTTATGTATTCATTCATGGGTACGTAGTAACTAGTTTAAAGTAACTTAAAGTCAACGACAATTACGCAAATAGTTATTGGGATAACTTTGATAACACTAACTTTGTACAGCTATTTTAATCCACCACCGCCATTACTGTAACGGGATACAAGCCCAGACTGAATTAGCAGCCTCTTGGTTAAAGTGGCACTTGGCACAGATACAATAATTCGTAGCCATAAAGTGTAATCAAAGGTTTTTACGCACCACGTACGCTGCAAAGAGACACAAGCGCGGACCTGCACGCACAAAAAAACGCACAAAACTACAGCGGCAGTTAGTTACAGCACAAACTATTAAACTTTAAATACAGTGAATAAAAACTTTTTGCAGACTCCGAATCAGGTTTGGGCACGTTGCGTTGCGAGTTTAGCCGTATCCTTGCGTAAACAGAGCATTGAAGGGGGGAACATCACAACTACTAAAACAGGAAGTTAAATATGTCATTATGGTGTTTTCATTCTAATACGAATAATACGAGGCTAAACAGGAAACTCTCCGCTTTCATGTCGTGAATAAAGACGTGTTTTTTTGCGCAAAGGCACTCCAAGAATCCGCGCGTCCTCAGAAAAAAGAGCAGCGCGCACAAAAGAGGCCAAGAGTGGAGCTGCGGTCAGGGCTACTTTTATGGCACCTTCTCTCTTTGTACTTTGTGTGTGTGTGTGTACGTGCGTGCGTGTGAACTGTGAATGCGCGTGCACATGACTCTCACACACACACACACACATAGGCACACACCTCCTCCACTTTTATTGCTTTATGACCGTTTATGACTCCTTGTAAAGTCCGAGGAATGGTCGCGATGCCGTAAACAGCACATGGACAAATGCCGTGCGCTTTTGTTCACACGCGCTGTACAGTTGGCACGGCCGGGTCCATCCGGGGGATTTTTTTTTTTTTTTTTTTTTTTTTTTTTTTTTTACGCACGGACTCCTCCACCACCACCACCAGCAGCAGCAGCGCTTTTATTAGCAGTGGAAGTGCGATTATGAAGTGTCCGCGGCGCTTCTAAAGTGTTAAGCCAATAAGTGGTGTAATTTTACAACTGTTGTTTACGTCAAAAACCGCGCGTAAAACAAGAAATAGACCTTTGACTTGAAACCGCGCGGAGAAAAATCCCAACACAAAACACAATTCTTA